CTCTCTCATCTTTTTAAGGGGGAGAACTTGCACAATTGGTGGCTGACTAAATACTTTTTTGCCCCACTGTAGATGCTCATTAAGTCTAGTTTATGGCACAGGCCATCATCTGACAGATTTTGAGTACCACTGTGCAGAACATTTAAGGCATTTGAATCTTTGCTCTTTGTTGCAATAAAAAAGATTGTGACTTTCCTTTCTTCTTTCCTTTCTATTACATATAAACAAAATCATCCTACTTTTTTTTTTTTTGTAATATGAGAATCCAAGCAATTCATTGAAAATGTACCATACATTAAAAATCACCACAATTTTACAGCATTGATTTATTTAGCGCCAAGAAGTACTCAAAGTGGTTGTGAAGGCCTCTTGCAGAATCATCAGATTCAAGTGCAGGTTCGGATCTTACTCGTTTGCATAAATGTTAAGCAGCCAAGCCATGTAGAGGTCAGGGTAAGAGATAACAGTAGTTCAGGCCAACCCCTGTTTTCATCTATGAAATATTGGAGAGAATGGGCAGTTGAATAAGCGAAGCTGGGAAGGCTAGACTGGTGCACTAGAGAGCAGATAGGGAACCTGGAGCTCTCCAGATATTTGGATGGCTAAGGTTTGTGCAAGTTGTGGTCCCAAACATCTGCAAGAAACCTAACTGAATCCTTGAAGATAGCTCTGAAAATGTCTGGGAAACTTAGTGCTGAAATGTTATGGGACCAGAGGGAAAGTGCTCAAATATATAGGAGATATTTAATTAATCTAATTGTAATTAAATATACATTTCAGTTAATTTAAATGTAATTTTGAAGCCCACCATTTAAAGGCCCATTCTAGAATAAAATGAAAAAAATAGACATGTGAATGAAAAAGTATTCCATTATTGGCTGAAACTCACATTAAGACAATGTATCATGCCATTTTTTTCATTGACAATATGAAAGTGATTTGATCAGTTCATTGAACCAAAGACCCAGTTTGGTGTAGTAGTTAAGATGTTGGACTTGGATGGGGAAGACCCAAGTTCAGTTTCCCATTTGGCTATGGAGCTCTTGGGTGAATCTCACAGCATTGTTGTTTTGATGATAAAAAGAAGGGAGAGAAGAATGCATAGTTTAAACTTGAACTCCCAGAAAAAAAAAAAAAGTAAATTATACATGCAACAGAAACAAACAAATAACCCTGGCTAATGAGATGGATATTGTCCAGGCATTCAATGGACCTCCTGTGATCTTAAGTGGCCATCCTGGACCTTTTGATATCATAGAGTTGCATTACACATGAGACTTATCACTTGATGCAGATGGGCTACTGGTAGGGAGAACTTTCAGAATGGTAATGGTTGGCTCAGGTGCAGGGCTTGGAAGTTCACATACTCAACTGCCGGTCATCAAGTCAGTTCATGTGCATATGAATGAAATGATGCAAACAAAATTACTTCCAGCTAGGGCTTTTGGGTAAAGCTGGACTGTAAGGACATCATATAATGCCTGTTGTTTTGATGGACTTCACTTTGATGTCTAATCACTGATATTCCTGAAGCGGATTATAGTTAAGATGATGTACAGAGTCCACAAAATGAGCCCAGCGCCAACTGCAGCATAGCCAAAGGTGCGTGCCAGCCTGGAGTGCTTTCGAGCAGCTGTGTAGTTTCCTCTTCGGTTGGATTCTTGAGTCTGAGGAGACAGAGAGATAAGTGACCGATTGGTGAGTAGCTGAAACTGAGAAACATCTAGAGAAATAAGGTGGCCTGCTGTAGTTAGGGAATGAACAGCTGACTTGGGAAGTCAACCCATCGTGTCTTGTTTGTCAGGTATTGTCACCTGACTGTTATGTGACAGATTGGCAGAAACCTTGCAGAATATCATGAAACTCACTTAGATTTCATGCTTGGGCTGGGAGAACTTTTAAGCTTAATGCGATTTAATTTTTGCCCTGAACTAGAATCCTGAGATCCCCTGACTGAAACCAGGTATCAAAATCTGATCAGGTTAACATATCTTAGAATTAAAGAACTGAGTTGAGCATAGGTAGACTTAGAAATTTATGACTATCACCAGGGCCAAACTCACACGCTCTTTTAGTTGAGAAGGAAACAGGAGAATATGGACCGTGGGTTTTTTAAATAGCTCCAGGTTAGGAATATTGGATCACTTCTGATTTGTAAACATGATGTAACCTAAAGGAGGCAGATGATCTGATAAAACATCAGCTGATATAACATTGTACAAGAAACATTGGGAAACCCTATCCATTGTAGGATGAAATAGGAAAAACAATTGGGTGACATTATTGCCAGTGATGAATTGTCTGGAGGCATAATGCAAACAGTTTATTAATTTCTTTCTTCAGGATGACAGAAACTATAGGTTAAGTAGTATCTAGATGCATGTAACTTGTATTTTTTAAAGCTATCTTCAGAACAGTGTATGCTAATTGTGCCAAGCAGTATCTTCTGATTAATATCTAGAGACGGTACAGTGCTTTTCTAGAAAAATATACTTTGGTGAAATTTTTATAGAATATACAGCATATTATCTGAGGCCCAAATAGCCTCCCAAAAGCTTTTTCAGCCTTTTAAAGGACTTATTATTTACTACTAGATCAAGGTAACATTGATCAACTTGTACTATATACTCTCTTTACAATGTTAATAAGAATATTACGATAAATTATGTGATCGAAGAATATAATTAGCTAACCTATGTCCCTATAATCTCTCTCTCTCTCATCTATCTATCTATCTATCTATCTATCTATCTATCTATCTATCTATCTATCTATCTATCTATCTATCTCATCAATCCGTCCCACCTGGTCAGGCAGAAAAGGCAT